CCTCTCGCAGGCACGGACGGGGGGTCTGGTGGCTCAGCCGCAGGTACGGCCTGGGACCGGGGGGATGGACGGGGTGGGCCCAGCTCTCTGTGTTTTCTGCAACTGGAGCAACACTGGGTTGTGGGAGGGGGTCACCGAGCCCCCCAGAGCAGAGAGTTGGGGACAGGGAGGTGGCCCTGGGTGACGCTGTCTCTTCCTCTCTACCCTGCAGGGATCACCGCCTAACCCCTTCCCGAGGGGCCAGCACGTGGCTGGATGTGGCCCCCTGCCCTCTCACCAGTTGGGCACAGAGCGGTGCTGGAGGATGCTGGGAGCTGCCTGCAGAGCGAGCTTGTCACGCTGCGCCTGCCCACCCCCGGCTGCGGTGGGGGCTCTTCTGGCTGGGTGAACTTCGTTTTTCCAATACTTCTAGAATTGAGCACTGCAATTATTTCTGTTTTCTTAATTTTGAGGTTGTAACTGATTTCTTCCGCGTGTGTACGTTTCCTGGCGCACCCAATAAACGCTGGTCCCCGCCCTCCCTCGGCCTGTGCCTCCTCTCACGGTGCCTGGGCTGCTCTCGCAGCCTCGGGCCGAGGGCTGTGCTGGTTCTGGCTGGGATGGAGTTCATTTGCTTCATGGCAGCCCATCATGGTGCCGGGTGCAGGATTTGAGACCAAGGCAGCGTCGGTAGCACAGCGATGGATCTGACCAGCGTTGGCACACCATCCCGGCCGCCCCGGTGCATAGATGGGGGTTGCGGAAGATGGTGAGAGGGGACACAAGCAGGCAGATGCCCCAAACTAAGGAGAGTTATTCCCGGCCGTATCATGTCGTACTCGATGATGAAAAGGGCAAAGAGGGGGCTGATGGGGACTGGCCGGCTTTTCCTCAGGCACTGGCTGGGTAGGGGTGTCCCTGTGGTGGAGGGGGTGAGCTCAAAGCCACGCAGATGGACCCTGAGCAGAAGGGCTCCTGCTCTGAGGCCACGGAAACAGGCGCTGAGACAACGTCTTCTGGTTTGAAGTCCTGCAAACGGTCCCTGCGCCTAAACCAGGGACTCGACCCTGAACTAAAATAGTTGCTCTTGTAGTCAAGGAGTCACGGTGGAAGCGGAGGTCGGCTCGGTCAATAAGAGAAGCAGCAGCTCCTCCTGAGAGGGAGCAGAGGCAGAAACGAGCTGGTGCCTATCCCTGGGCGGGCTGTGAGATCCAGGGAATGGTTTCGTCCATCAGGCAGGTGAAGAGATTTGCTCCCGGGTTGCTCCCATGCTGGGAGAGTGGGGCGTAACAGGCTGGAACTAGAAGGCAGGGAAGGGCAGGAGCTGGGATCCATTGCTGGGGACTGTGGGATTGATGGATGGGAAGAGGGGCAGCCACCCGCCGCCTCTGGAGGTGGCTCCTGCTGAGCGGGAAGGCAAAGGGGGGGATCCCAATTGCCGTGGTGAGAGCTGCGGGGAGCCCCACAGGAAAGGAGTGGGAGAAGCGACTGGTCCAGAGGCTCAAGGAAGTAAAGATCCTTTGAGGATGCAAAGGGGCACCGGTGGGCCATTGTCGATAGAGAGATGGCTCCCCCAGCAGTGTGCCCAGGTGGCCAAGGAGGCCAAGAGGGCTGCAAGCGCACGTTCCCGGGTCATGTTGATCTTCTCATCACCCAACACCCCCAAGTCCTTCTCCTCAGGGCTGCTCTCAATCCATTCCCCGCCCAGCCTGTATTTGTGCTTGGGATTGCCCCGGTCTCTTCTCCCCAGTCACAAGCGATAGGACGAGAGGAAACTGCCTCAAGCTGCAGCAGGGGAGGTTTGGGTTGGATATTAGGAAAAATTCCTTCACCGAAAGGGCTGTCAGGCCCTGGCCCAGGCTGCCCAGGGAAGGGGTTGAGTCCCCATCCCTGGAGGGATGCCAGGGATGTGGCACTTAGGGACGTGGTTTAGGGATGGACATGGCAGTGCTGGGTTAACGGTTGGACTTGATGATCTTAAGGGTCTTTTCCAACCTCAATGATTCTATGATTCTATGATGGCCCTTGGAAAGTAGTCACATATTAGACCAAATACCTTTTCTTATTTCCTCTGGAAAAGAAAACCTTGACACTTCAACAGTTCACACATGTAATGCGACCAAGGTGTTTATTATGAAAGAAAAAGCAAATGCATTTCATTTTCAGCAGGGCTTGCTAAACAAAAATATTTCTCTACAAGGACCTTTTGCTTCCCTTTTCCTGCCACACCACAATCTCAGTGGCGTGCACTTCTGAAGCGCCAGCTGGTGTTGAGAGCTTCCCTAGTCAAAGGAACTAGAAATGTCTTTTGGATCTGTCACCAAGGTAGCTCTGGGTGCCAGACAGTGCTTTCCTGAGCACTTTCCTGAAGGCCTCCCTGACCTCCCTGTTCCTCAGGCTGTAGATGAGGGGATTGACCAGGGGTGTGACGATGGTGTAGAAAAAGGAGAACACTTTGTTGAGCTGCCTCAGCGAGGGTCTCCTGGGCAGCATGTAGACAACAAAGATGGTGCCATAGAAAATAGTAACAACGATGAGGTGAGAGGAGCAGGTGGAGAAGGCCTTCTGCCTGCCTGTGCTGGATGGTTTCCTCCAGATTGCAGCCATGATGCACATGTAGGAGGCCAGTGTGAACAGAAAAGGAAAAACTACATCCAAGATGCCAAATATGAAAGAAACAAGTGTGATCCCTCTGGTGTCACTGCAGGCGAGCTCCAGCAATGGGGTAAAATCACAGAAGAAGTGGTCAACTGCCTTGGGGCCACAAAACCTCAACTGGGATAAGAAGACTGTGACTGCCACCAGCAATAGTGAACCCCCTAGCCAAGATGCAGCTGCCAGGTGTAAAGAGACCTTCCAGGTCATGAGGCTCGCATAGAGCAAGGGCTGGCATATGGCCAAGTACCGATCATAGGACATGGCCGCCAGCAGGTAACACTCAGTAGTTGCAAATGAAGCAAAGAAGTAGAACTGAGCCATGCAGCTGTGAGCAGAGATGCTGCTGTCCCCAGTCAGGAAGCTGGCCAGCAACTGAGGCAGGGTGGTGGAGCTGTAGCAGATCTCCAAGGAGGACAGATTGCCCAGGAAGAAGTACATGGGGGTGTGCAGATGCCGGTCTGCCACCACCAGTACAACGACGAGGATGTTCCCAACCACAGTGACTGAGTAGATCATAAGCAAGAGGAGAAACAGCAGGTTCTGGAGCGTGGGGACATAACTTATTCCCAGCAGCACAAAATCCGTGGATGGTGTCCCGTTGTCCCTTTCCCCTTCAGCCATGCAGTGTTTGTCTTTCATTCCCTCAGTTGCCACAAAGAGGGGCTACAAGAAAGAAAAAAACTTTTCAGCATTTACCTTGAACATTTTTTTGTGAAGGACATTCTTCTCTTCACATTTGTTTTATGGGTTTCATGCCTAGTAAAAGCAGAAGATAAATATTCTTCCTACTGGTAAAACAACAGTCATCCCAGCAGAACCACTGCAGCGAGCTGCCCAATGGAAGGTCTTTCTCACTGCAGAATAAAACTAAATCTTGCATTTGCTCACACAAACAACTTTCATGGGGTATGCCCAGGAAGACACGCTATAGGTGGCGAGGACTGACATCTGTCACGGGAGAGTGGTTAAGCTGCTTAAAAAATCACCATCAAAGATATTTGCAAAGAGTGATTTTAATAGAAATCTATAAATGTGTGATTTTCCAGAGTTTGATGGCAAGGTTCACTCTATTACTTATTAAATGAATGGAATATATATATAAAGAGAAAGAAAGAGGAAATCAGGCCCAAAGAAAATACACAGAGGAATAGGGGAGCCCTCCCATTCAGTCACGAGGTTTGGAACGGACCCCCTTGCTTTCTAAACTCCTCAGAGAGGAGCCTAAGTGCGGCTGGATCCAATCCTACTCTCAGACTTGGTCAATGGTTTGTGTCTAAGTATTAGATACGTCTAGCAGCAGTTAAAGGTTTGTTTGTAGCAAGGAGAGAATCATAAAAATCTAGTAATAACTAATCATTAATTAATCTAGCATCTACAAAGTGATTAAATGAGGTTTACTACAATATTTATATCACACACACACAATAGGCCTAAGTACTCATTATATGTGCAGTTAAAGGTACCAATAAAAATTCCCCCAGGTTTAGCGAAATACTCACTTTAAATGACTGTCTCAACAGGTGAGGGTCGAAGCTCGAGGAGCAAGGAGTGCCAGAGATCAGGCGAGGGTCGAACCTCGAGGAGCAAGGAGTGCCAGAGATCAGCTCGAGTTGGCTGCTCTGAGAGGTGTCCCACTCAGAGGGAGGTGCTGGTCCTGGAGAGCTCAAAGGATCTCAACTTGGCACTGCTGTTTATAGGGTTGTGAGATGATTGACTTTAGGCATCAGTAAATTTCCCTTCTACTTTCACAGCCCGTGTTGAAGATTACTGAAGTTCTCAAAAATTCCAGTGATGCTGGTACAGATCCTCCTGAGTTACAGCCTAGATAAGACAGGCCCCAAGGCTGTCAGGAGGCGACTAGTACAGACGACAAATATAGTTCCAACGTTGTCAGGGCTGCCTCCCTGGGACAGACAGTGCTGCTCCCACCTCCGCCATCTCAGAGTTTTGATACGGTCAAGGGACGCTTAACCGCCAAACTCGTTACACAAAGGCCAAGTTTTGACGGGAGTTACTGAGATTGTAAAGCGGCTTCGCTTCCCATGCTCTGCCAGGTGCACCAGAAGAAAAGCGGGGGGAATGCATCACCACAACATCCTCCTGCTCTCAGGAAAGAGAAAGTATGCCAGAGGAAAAGAACCCCACTCTCCAAAAAAGCCCATTGCGTGAAACATCATGCCAGATGCCAGCCTTCCTCCAAAGCAAGAGATGGGCACATCGCAGGGCGAGTGGCCACAGCTCTCTGAAACACTCACGTGAGGAAAGGATTCCCACCCCACTGCGTTCCTGCTGCCCAACAAGCCCATTTCTTTCACTGCGAAAGGGCAGATCAGGGGTTACTGGCTCAGACGAACAAGGGACTGTGCTACGGGACTGCCAGAGAACGTGCAAAAAACCACATCATGTGTCAAAATGTAGCGTAAAAAGTGACAAGGAAGTGATAAAAAAAAGATAGGGGAGGGGTAAGTGGGAGTCAGCCAGGCCATGAGGGAGAGGTTGTGCAGGGAGAAAGAAGGTTGGGAGGGAGAAAGCAGACAAGCCAGACTGTCTTCAGCAGTGCCAAGAAGAAAGGACACATCGAAATAAAG